CCCGCTCTGCGGCTCCCGCCATGGCAGTGGCAGGTCATAGACTGTGACACATCTTTGGTAGCTCTCACAAAGCATGCCTCCCCCATACACATTCGGATGTATTTCTTAGAGCTGCAACATGATTATGACTGTCCAGAATATTATACTGATGCATCCAAGTCCCATACTGGCGTGTCCTATGCGGCGGTCGGCCCATCCTTCTCGGATGCCGGCGTTCTGTCCACCAGCACAAGCATTTTTACAGCCGAGGCTTACGCGTTACTCGTAGTCGTTAAACACATCAAAGAACTGAATACGCCAAGGGTAGTTATATACACAGACTCCCTGAGTGTCGTAAAAGCGTTGAAAAATCTTACAAAACACAGAAACCCCATAATTATAACCCTCTATTCAGTACTCTGCGTGGCATATACTTCCAAGCAACATATCGTCGTGTGCTGGGTGCCAGGACATCGCGAGATAGAAGGAAATTTGTTGGCCGGCCAGCTCGCCACGTCAATTAACGGAAGCTCTGCCAACTCTTCAGTTGCTGTCCCTATAATGGACCTAAAACGAAACATACGAAAAAGCTCAGGGCTTACTGGCAGAAGTTATGGGATCTACAAACTCGTACAAGTTACACTTGATTAAACCATACCTCGGTAACTGGCCACCCACGTCAAAAACACTCCGTACAGAGGTCAGCCTGTCGGCTTAGAATAGGACACACACACAGCGCGCGCACACACCTTTTGTCCCGTGGTGACCCACCCAGCTGTCGCAGATGTGGCAGTCTACTTACCGTACTCCACATACTCCTTGAATGCTCTGAGCTAGAGGCTTACAGGAAAAAACATTTTCCACTAGCGTACAAGGAACACATACCCCTTCACCCAGCTATGTTTATTGGTCGCGAACCTCTTTTTAAATATAATGCATTGAATGCATTATTAAAGGAAGTAAATACTTTCCATGTTATCTACTCAAGTGATCAGTAGCACAGGCTCTGAAAGTAGGCTGCAGCTGTGGATGCTACATCCAAAGAGAGCACCTGTCTCCCAGCCCTTGGGACCAAGGGCGCTGGCGAGGTACTGGTGCTAATATAACACTCCTATTCTATGGCGTCATCATAACGTAAGACTCGTTCTCACCTGGCATGCTTCACTTCACTTTCATGATTTTAATAAATATGTCTTACGCACCTTTAAAGCGCAGAATCTTAGGCCCTTTTACAGCCATTTAACATAACCATTGCTCTCATCCGATATCATTTCCTGGCACTCTTTGGCCATCAATGGCCCTTGGCGTCATTAAACCACATATATCATCATCATCATCATCTGGGTCCGTGGCCAGGGTGAGGTTTAAGTTCGCCGCTGCTTGTCACAAATCCTCACCTTTACAGGATGACCGCAGATAACCCCAAGCCTGATGAGGAGTGTTGAAATCACCCGCAACCACAAGCGGGGAGATACCAGCCCTGGCGACAGCCCTACTCGAGAGTGCCGCAAACATTTGTCTCGAGTCATTTCGTGAACTATATATATGCAGAATGAAAACACTACTGTTGAAATGACCCCCCCCCCCCCCCCCGAATAATTTCCACCAATAAGTGTTCCACCTTACTAATGTTCATTGAAAGATCATGCGAGATATTGGTGTATCCCTTAGATACGAACATGCAAATGCCCCTTTGTCTGTCCCCATGAAGTGCGCGAGATGTGTAACCCGGCAGCATGGCAGAATCCGAAAGCGTCTCCTGAAGCGAAATGGCGTGCGGCTTTTCAAAGTGAGAACGAATGAACTGCTGAAGAACTGCCTTCTTGCAAGTAAATCCCCAGCAGTTCCATTGCCAAATCCTGAACTCTTTAGGCGGACGCGCCCTGGTTAGGCTCGAAAAATGTGCCTGCGTTCGAGCACGTTGACCTTAGCGTCCAACGCACAGAAGTTAGCATCCAATGTATTGACCTTAGCATCCAGTGCGCTGAATTTGTCCGCTAAGGTATCGACCTTAACATGAACCAATGCGACTGTTTGGCTAAGTGACTGGAACATGTCTCTGATCTCCGTTTTAAAACTGCAGTTCCTCATGAAGTGCGTGCCTTGTCAAAGCCCTGTTTTTGGCTGGACAACAGTACACTACACTTTCATTGGTGTTTCAACGGGCGTCTCCGCGGGTTTTTTACGGGCGTTTTCATGGCTGTTTCTATAGGCGTTTCCACGGGCGTTTCCATAGGCGTTCCCCCGCCGCGGTGGTCTAGTGGTGGTGGTCTAGTGGCTAGTGGCTCGGCTGCTGGCCCGCAGGTCGCGGGATCGAATCCCGGCTGCGGCGGCTGCATTTTCGATGGAGACAGAAATGTTGTAGGCCCTTGTTCTCAGATATGGGTGCACGTTAAAGAACCCCAGGTTGTCGAAATTTCTGGAGCCCTCCACTACAGCATCTCATATTTATATGGTGGTTTTGGGATGGTAAACCCCACATCAATCAATCCATAGGTGTTTCAATGGGCGTTTCGAGTCTAGTGACCTGAGGAGGTTGTGGAGCCTCACTCTTAGCGTTATAAGCATTCTTAAGTGCGACTATCTCGACTCTAAGTTGCGCGGTCGCCTTCTTTAGTGCAGCATTCTCCCTTTCCAGCTGAATAATTCTATCATTGTTCTGCTCTGGCAGCATGCCCCCCCCATCACCTGTTTCTGGGAGCTTTTGACGCGATCAGCCCACTCGGTCGCTATAGCAGCAGGCACATGAATGCTGACGGCCGGGCCCCGTGATCGGGAACAGCTCCGGGACTGAGAAATGCTTGTGGATCGGGGACCACTCCTGTATCGGAAGCGCCCCCTCGAGCTCCTGCACTGGGACCTAAACTTGTTGGTCGATTCGGACAGCTCATGTATCGGTGGGAAGTTCTTGGCAAAGTCGCGTCTCTCTCTCTTGCACAGTCTGACGATTTAAGGTATCTCGAATCTTTGTGTATAGGTTCTGTCGGCCGTTGGATGAGGCCCTCCACAGAAGGCACACTTCAGTGAGCAAACGTGCTGGTCGCCAGGGGAGGCGATTCCACAACCTCGACAGATAACATTTCCTGGAGTGGGACACACTTCAGCTCTGTGGCCTAGTCTACCACAGGTGTAGCAGACGTCAGTATGCCATCGGTAGAGGGTGCACTTGACTATGCTGGAACCACACGTGACGTAATTTCGGACTCGGAAGTCCTTTAAAGAGGATAACGACTGTGGTAGAATTCTTGATTCGCCACACTTCGAGAACAGATTCCTCGGTTGAATAAGAAGTCTTCTGAGCTCTTCGTCCTCAATTTCCCTATCGATGTTTCTGATGATGTCCTTGCATGTGTTGTCGGGCGCAGCAATGTAAGAGCTGACCTCATACCCTGCGTTGATAACGGTGATGGCCTCTAGACTTGCGTAGGCCTTAGCGTTGCCTTGCAATGGCGTACTAATCACAACAATGTTCTGCACAGCGTTACGACAAACGATGTATTCTGCGATATCCGCAGCTGGGAAATGCGCCGCTGTCGAGAGGGCTTGAGACATCCGGACGTTACTGGTACTCTTGACGTTCAGGCCTCCCCAAGGCCTAACAATGATTTGAAAATGCTTCCTTGGTAGATGAGGCAGCCTTGACGCTTTGGGTAGGCATTTCTTCACGTTGGCGGCAGATCGGGTGTCAGCGTTCTTGCTGTATGGTCGGCCTTGAACTTCAGCGCCCGCCCCGAGTGCTTTAGTTGACTTACGCTTACAAAGCGCCGTTGTCCATCCAGAACACTGGAATTCTTCAGGAGAAATGTCCTCCCCTTGCACAGTGACTTGCATAGCTATCTTGAAAGCTGAAATGCGCTGAGCTTTCGTTAGGCTTAGCTAAGCCTAACTTTAGGCCTAGCAAGCCACAGTGTGGTCTAACAAAAAGTCCTTCAAAATTCGGTAAAAGATCCATCCCCGTGACAAAATTGTTTACACGTCTTCAAGACTTCGGGCGTCAACTGGAGCGAAAGGAATCAAACACATAGCTAACTTTCACAGAAAAAAAAAGGTGAACAAGCAGGAGCCGATGTTTAGACGACCGCATAAATCGGCTCCCTCTAGCATTTTCCGACCTGCGAGAGTGGGGGGGGGGACATCTGTTGCGATGGTTTAATTACGGCCAATGATGATGCCGACACTGCGGAACCGTGCACAGGTTGGGGCATTGTGAATGAAGTACCTAGCGAGAGCGATTTGTAGGAATCGGATTGCGAGAACGACTGAACTTTGGAGCCAGTGCCTCATGCAGCTTATGCCACGGGCCTCAGCGAACTAGCAATTTGCCGTTTTGAATGAACTCGAGACCGCCCTTATCGCTTCTGTTCTTCGATACACAAGCATCACGGACTTTTTGAACCAAAAAGTTTGCGTTTTCACTCGCAACTTTTTTTAAAAGCTTTGTTTCATTTACTATGAACTTCACGATACAGCGAAAGGATGCCACGTCACGCTCAGGTTCATTATAAGCGGGCTGGACTGCGTTTCGAATACTTCGAATAGTACTATTGTAGTGCCAATCAAACAGAGTAGCAAAAATTGTTAGAAAAGTATTTCATATATTTGTGCACTTCTACAAAGAAAATATTTTCGGTGCGGCCCTACAATATGGCAGTTAAATCAGATACATCGGAGCACTAGGCTCACTTTGTAGCTCATTAGTTCCAGTTTGCTCTTTAGATGCCAAAGAAAGTATGCCAGGAAACTGCATACATTGATTCACACCCGCCCAGCCATTGAGATTTATCAAGCTTGGTAGAGCATTTGTGCTGAACTTGTTCTTTTCTGAAAATGTGATGTCTGTACTTCTGCAAAGCTGATCATTTACCGGGGTTGAAGCTTAAACTTGTCATTTCTTTCAGTAAGCTGACATTGTGCAAGAGAGAGAGCCTGTTTGTAAAGAGCGAAATTCTGGCATTGCAGTTCTACTTGCTCAAATTTATGTTAGGCAGTAAGAGAGAAATGTGCACATTAATTTCCCACAGCCCAGCCCCAGTGAACGCTCATGCAGATAGCGAGCCGCCTCGCTATTTCTTGCGAAGCCATGCTCGGCAGGTCTCGCACGAGCATGTTGCCGAGAAGCGAAAGCTGGAGGCCAGGGGGAAGAGCAGTGGCAAGAAGAGGCGCCTGTGGAGCCCCCCTGAGCAGGCCCAGCCCACGGAGGATCCGGCGTCAGCCAGTCCCGGCCAGCATTGCAGCCAGGGACTGCCTCACGGTGGGAGGACATATTTCGTATAACATTTGTTCTGGTCAATCATGTTGCTAGTGATGTTGATTTTTTTTTTTTTTTTTTTTTTTTTTTTTTTTTTTTTTTTTTTTTTTTTTTTTTTTTTTTTTTTTTTTTTTTTTTTTTTTTTTTTGCCCACGTACGAAATTGGCGGTCGTCGGAGCTGTACGAAGAAGGCCGGACGCAACTTTCCCAAGTGATCGCGATGGCGGGCGGCACTGCGACGGGGAGCAGCGCGCGGTAGGTTTAATGACCAGCTGTGAGAGGCGAAAAAGCAAACTTATGTTTACAAATTCTGCAGCCATGTTATTTTGTGCAAGACATGACGCAACATTACTCCAATCTATTGAAGGAAAATTGAAATCACCGAATAATAAGACGGGAGTGTTGGGATACGTTGTTGTTAGTTCTAACAATGCTTCGTGAAAAGACGAAAGAAAGGAGCTATCGGCACTTGGTGGACGGTAGCAACAGCCGATTAACATGTGCGGTGAAGTGGCGTGGCAGCACGTCCAAACCATTTCCAGAGAATTTTTAACATTTACAGCAGAGATCAAGGTGCATAACGGATCGCGTTTTGGCATCAAGCTGCAAATGTTAGTGTAAAGCAGTTAGAGATCATGCTTAACCCTCTGATTCGGTCTTCGGGCTTTTTGCGCCCGTTGCTAGGCCTTGAGGGTTCGACAACCAACTGCTTGCCTGATCAAAACATATTTTTTCTGCCACAGATAAGCTTGTCATAACGGAGCTTAAACGGGAGTGCTGTGCTTTTCCAAATTCGATAAGGCGCCTTCTGGCTACAACGAAATTTCCGGGGCAAAGTCTTCACTGAAGCGGTATTCTGTGCCTTTCAGTTTACTGCTAGACGAAAGGAGTGCTTCTTTATCCTTGAAGTGGGCAAATTTTACTATTATCGGACGCCATTTCCCCTCACGATAAGCTCAGTCTATGGGCACGTTCTATGTCACGACTTCGAATAGTCATGCCCAGGCTTTTGTGACAGAGATCAGTAACCAGTTCTTCACTAACACGCCACGCCTCGTTTCGCACATCACTGAACCCGTAAAAGATCAGGTTGCGCCTTCGGGATGTGCTTTCCATGTGGCTAATCCGGTCAGACAGCCTAGTTACCTGAGCAGCGCTGTTAGTGGCAACACTTTCAATGATTTCAAATTGAGACTGAACATTTGAAAGTGATAGTAAGTCGGATTCTATTTTGGTCAATCGCGAGCGCAGGTCATTGAACGTTTTTCATGTTCATCAAGGGTTGATCTGATTGAACCTAACTGCTCAAGCATGGCCGACTGCCCAGATTGCAACGTCTTCAGTATATCAAGCATGTCACTAGACACCACACAGTGTTCATTCCTAGGTCCAGGATTAGTCTCAATATCACCTGCTAATAACAATTTCAACAGCATTTTGGCACGATCGAGAACTACAGAGATGGAGCGCCGTGGGCTCAGCAGAACAAGTAATGATCAGCATCCAGTTCGCTTAGCGTAAAGGCAGTGGTAATTCGTTACCTGCGTAGTGAAGTCAAGTGGGTTAGGATGACCCATCGCCGGTGTGCCGCCGAGCCCACTAGGCACAGTGAGCGTCTGCCCAGGGTTTATATTGGTGCTCCAAGGAACGGTGGCGCTGTCGGAAGATAGCGTGCCCGAAATCCAAGATGCCAGCTGATGACCACGAGGCAACCGTAGTGATAGCGTTTGGCGAGGATGCGCATTCCAGTGCACAGTACCGGCTGGGCTGGCGCACCCCGTCATGGCGAGGTGACGCGTTCACAGGCAGGTGGTCAGCGCCGCATGGTAGTGGAGACCGGGTAGGCTGGTCGAAGTTCTGCAGTAGCATCAGGTTCCAGGGCAACACGAAGAACTGCGTAGCGAAGAAGTCAAGCGGGTTAAGATGACCTATCGCGGGTGTGCCGCCGAGCCCACCAGCTCGGCGGCACACCGGCGAACTGTGTACTTGATGGGCAGCTGACAGGGAATCGCAAATTATTCATCGTGGAGAAAATTTTGTTGTAGCAGTATTAGACAATGCCCCTTTGCGCATGCCCAGTTCGAAAAGTTTGGCTGTGCTTGTGCCTAGAGGGTGCTGGGGCTTTGTCGAAGGCCAGAAACTCTAATGTTCCTTCTCGAAGGGTGAAGGTCGATAAGACATGTATAGTTGTGCCCCATGTGCATACAATGCTGTACCACCACAAGAAGGTTGGGAAACGACATGTAGTTGAAGTCAAGTTTTTGATGCTTAAGGAGCTTGCAGTCTTATGCACGTTCGTAGGTGGCCACGAAAACGGGGTGCAAGAAGCACTACACGAAATCATATGCAGAATGCAGTGCTGGAGGGGTATATGAAATACATTTGTCATGTGGCTAAAGTTGTGTGGCATAAATGGAAAGATGTGCCAACATGTGCACGTGTGAACATGATTTCTCAGTAAAAGAAACGCATACAAATGGGTACCTACCCACCCAGTGCTCAGAGTGCAAGTGTAAACCAATGCTGGAAAATAAGAAGATATTGAGCTGCTGCTGCGATAATAGAGCAAGTAAAATTTGCAAAACACATTACACAAGGAAGAAGGGAAATGACTGTGCCAATGAATCATCTGTTGGCTAAAGTATGAAGTCCTTTGCCACTTTTCATTGTCAAATTATTGTATTGCCCATGGACATCTTATAAAACTTCGTAATAACTGAGCTTTTGAATTTTTGTATACTGCTGTTTGTGTGTTGGGAGGCAGGCTTGATTACCTTGTTACAAAGGTTCCTTGGTGGGGATCTACCTTACTTCTTTGTTATTTGTCTCCATAGCATGAGCTTACTTTCATTTTGTGGATTCTTCATTTTAATCTTCTTTTTTTCATGGTTGTTCAAATTATCAACCTTTAGCACTTCTCCAAAAATAGTACACTGTGCAGTCGAATCTCGTTATAGCAATCCTCAATATAATGTTTTTTTTTCGAAAATTCCCTTCCAAATGTCCATTGGTTTATTGTAAAAATGTTTCACTACTACAAATTTCAGAATATTGCATGTTTCAGAATAATTTATCGAATTTTATCTCCCTTACATTTCAGAACACTCCAAAATAATGATGACGACTTTAAGAAGCTATTCACGGCTGTAAACAATATGCCCAGCTCCGTAGCTGCCACTCTCGTCATGATGAGAATGCTGACATATTTCTCTTTGGCCTGCACTATTCAATTGTCGATAGCCCTGTTGTCATCATCATCGTCTGGAACTTGCTTTTCAAGTTAGGCTTTGCCCCGTCATCCTTGCTTTTGTCAGCAGCTTGACATGTGGGCTGGTTTCTAGCCTTTTTGTTTGTGGTTGAACATTCAAGATGAGCTACGGAAACAGCACGAGAGGAATGCTTAGACGGTGAAAAATGCAATACGAGAGACCTATTGGTTGAAGTCTCTGATAATAACTCGTTCATGCTGTACTAACGCTCACACAACCTACAGCGCTTCAACAAAGCGTGCATGTGAGCTTAGCTAATGACCGATAAGATCCGTATCATCCATTGTGGTAAGGAAACTGCGACGAGAGTAAAGACTACGTTGAAACAGTGCACGCAAACCAACGTGAAGAATTCGTATTAACTGCTAACATTTCGCAGTGCGTAAGAAGGACGCGCCTGCTTACCGTAATAGTTTATTTTCCAGAAGTCGAGCTGCTCACATCAAGATAGACTGCCCTCTTTTTCAAATAAATGTGCACTGGTTCTGTATTACCTCGAGTTTGTTTTTTCGCACTTATTTGAGCATAATGTGGTTGCTCGATAATGTATACACAGCATGGGTATGCGGCTCATGAGTTAATCTTTACTATTTTTGTGCAAATTTTTATTACTTTCTTTAAAAAGACTTCACAATAAAGGATAATATTTAGCGGTTCTTTGAGATTTGTTGCATTGAAATTTCACTGTGTATTCACCATTGCTGCAGATCCTTCTTATGCGTTATGGCTGCCGTGCAAAGAACACAATGTGCCACCAGTGGTCCGGGTGCAACTAGCAACTTCGATGAGGACGGCTTGCCTCATGAAGACTATGGCTGTATCTGTGCCTTGTTAATTCACTGATAATTTTTTTAGAATGGTGCATTAGTAGCTGTAAGCTATGTCTGTAGACAATTACCAGCATCATTTGTGGTCTATACTACAGTGTTGCTTGTGTCTGTACAGTCTAGTGTAGAACATACTCACGACCTTTTTTCTTTCTTGCCTTTCTTTGTTCGCTGAAGAACTGCGTAGCGAAGAAGTCAAGCGGGTTAGGATGACCCATCGCCGGTGTGCTGCCGAGCCCACCAGCTCGGCGGCACACCGGCGAACTGTGTACTTGATGGGCAGCTGACAGGGAATCGCAAATTATTCATCGTGGCGAAAATTTTGTTGTAGCAGTATTAGACAATGCCCCTTTGCGCATGCCCAGTTCAAAAAGTTTGGCTGTGCTTGTGCTACGAGGGTGCAGGGGCTTTGTCGAAGGCCAGAAACTCTAATGTTCCTTCTCGAAGGGTGAAGGTCGATAAGACATATATAGTTGTGGCCCATGTGTATACAATGCTGTACCACCACAAGAAGGTTGGGAAACGACATGGAGTTGAGGTGAAGTTTTTGATGCTTAAGGAGCTTGCAGTCTTGTGCACGTTCATAGGTGGCCACGAAAACAGGGTGCAAGAAGCACTACACGAAATCATATGCAGAATGCAGTGCTAAAGGGGTATATGAAATACATTTGTCATGTGGCTAAAGTTGTGTGGCACAAATGGAAAGATGTGCCAACATGTGCACGTGTGAACATGATTTCTCAGTAAAAGAAATGCATACAAATGGGCACCTACCCACCCAGTGCTCAGAGTGCAAGTGTAAACCAATGCTGGAAAATAAGAAGATATTGAGCTGCTGCTGCGATAATAGAGCAAGTAAAATTTGCAAAACACATTACACAAGGAAGAAGGGAAATGACTGTGCCAATGAATCATCTGTTGGCTAAAGTATGAAGTCCTTTGCCACTTTTCATTGTCAAATTACTGTATTGCCCATGGACATCTTATAAAACTTCGTAATAACTGAGCTTTTGAATTTTTGTATACTGCTGTTTGTGTGTTGGGAGGCAGGCTTGATTACCTTGTTGCAAAGGCTCCTTGGTGGGGATCTACCTTACTTCTTTGTTATTTGTCTGCATAGCATGAGCTTACTTTCATTTTGTGGATTGTTCATTTTAATCTTCTTTTTTTCATGGTTGTTCAAATTATCAACCTTTAGCACTTCTCCAAAAGTAGTACACTGTGCAGTCGAATCTCGTTATAGCAATCCTCAATATAATGTTTTTTTTTCGAAAATTCCCCTCCAAATGTCCATTGGTTATTGTAAAAATGTTTCACTACTACAAATTTCAGAATATTGCATGTTTCAGAATAATTTATCGAATTTTATCTCCCTTACATTTTCAGAACACTCCAAAATAATGAATGACGACTTTAAGAAGCTATTCACGGCTGTAAACATTATGCCCAGCTCCGTAGCTGCCACTCTCGTCATGATGAGAATGCTGACATATTTCTCTTTGCCTGCACTATTCAATTGTGCGATAGCCCTGTTGTCATCATCATCGTCTGGAACTTGCTTTTCAAGTTAGGCTTTGCCCCGTCATCCTTGCTTTTGTCAGGCAGCTTGACATGTGGGCTGGTTTCTAGCCTTTTTGTTGGTGGTTGAACATTCAAGATGAGCTACGGAAACAGCACGAGAGGAATGCTTAGACGGTGAAAAATGCAATACGAGAGACCTATTGGTTGAAGTCTCTGATAACTCGTTCATGCTGTACTAACGTTCACACAACCTACAGTGCTTCAACAAAGCGTGCATGTGAGCTTAGCTAATGACCGATAAGATCCGTATCATCCATTGTGGTAAGGAAACTGCGACGAGAGTAAAGACTACGTTGAAACAGTGCACGCAAACCAACGTGAAGAATTCGTATTAACTGCTAACATTTCGCAGTGCGTAAGAAGGACGCGCCTGCTTACCGTAATAGTTTATTTTCCAGCAGTCGAGCTGCTCACATCAAGATAGACTGCCCTCTTTTTCAAATAAACGTGCACTGGTTCTGTATTACTTCGAGTTTGTTTTTTCGCACTTATTTGAGCATAATGTGGTTGCTCGATAATGTATACACAGCATGGGTATGCGGCTCATGAGTTAATCTTTACTATTTTTGTGCAAAGTTTTATTACTTTCTTTAAAAAGACTTCACAATAAAGGATAATATTTCGCGGTTCTTTGAGATTTGTTGCATTGAAATTTCACTCTGTATTCACCATTGCTACAGATCCTTCTTAAGCGTTATGGCTGCCGTGCAAAGAACACTGTGCCACCAGTGGTCCGGGTGCAACTAGCAACTTCGATGAGGACGGCTTGCCTCATGAAGACTATGGCTGTATTTGTGCCTTGTTAATTCACTGATAATTTTTTTAGAATGGTGCATTAGTAGCTGTAAGTTATGTCTGTAGACAATTACCAGCATGATTTGTGGTCTACACTACAGTGTTGCTTGTGTCTGTACAGTCTAGTGTAGAACATACTCACGACCTTTTTTCTTTCTTGCCTTTTTTTGTTCGCTCTCTCCTGGAATAGCAAGGCAGAGACAGGGCACCTGTGGTCAGCAACTCTAATGCACCTAAGTTGTCGCCTGTATAATAACGAAGAAATTGACCTCTTCAAACAATAGAAAAGTGGGCTGCTTGAACATCATGTAATACATTTTTTTTTTTACATGTCGTCAAAGCATTCTCGTCATTCAGTGCAGCTTAGCATCTTGAACTTGCGGTCTTACTTTTTCTTAGGGCGGCCGTCGTCGCGCTGGTGTGGGCGTCGCCATTACAGCCCAGAGTCATCTGTACAGGACTCTCCGTATGTATTCTTTCATATTGTTTTTAAATTATTTTATTTTGCAGTGATGTTGCTTCACTTTTCATGTGTTTGCTAGAGATACCTGAACATTCAATGGTATTCTATAGTTTTTCTTTATAGAAATCTGTTATCGATAATGCGTCAAGTGCTACAGCTCATTTGCCATCTAGCGCAAGGGCTGTGACAGAAGGCAGTGATGTGACAGCTGTGCTGAATGATCGATAGTGCTACAGCCTGCTCTATTTCCACTATTCTACACCAAACGGTGTGTTTTCATAGTTTGAAAATGAAACCACAGTCTCTCGAGGCTGAAGCATACTTCTGAAAAGTTTTCTTCTGAAGAAATAAAGTTTACCATCAATGACGATAGTTATAGCGCGAGAACAAAACGACGACACAGAGACAAGGACACGAAAGACACGAGCGCTAACTTCCAACTGAGTTTATTGCGCAGAGCACGAAAATATATAGAGGAGACAGTAACCATGTGATAAAAACCGTATGGCACAAAGAGCAGAACATCAGTAAGAAAAAAACAAACAAAACAAAGCACTGAAAAACAGCAAGGAAAAGTCTAGAAGAAAACGAAACGGAAAGGTAAAGATAATATAACTACCTGCCCGCACCGAAACCTTCGAGGAACCTGCGTTCCTTCTCGGACAAAACCACGGAGGGCTTGCTAATACAAGGCACCTGTTCGCGTGCCATCTGCGCGGCCTCGACAATGACTCGGGTGCTTTCATCTCTGTGTTTGTACAGCGTCGCTGTGTTCTTGAAGAGGGGAGCACAATATCACTCAGTGCAGTGCTGGGCAAGAAAACCATCTTTCCCGTTTCTAAAATTGTTCGCGTGTTCTCTCAGCCGATCGTTCAGACACCTTCCGGTCGTTCCGACATAACAAGCACCACATGAAAGGGGGGTCCTATAGACAACTTCCCGGGAGCAGGCCGCATACCTGTTTCGATGTTGAACTCTGCATTCCGTTGATGATTGCGTTTTCAGGGGCTTTGTAGATTTGGTGAGGCTGATTAATTTGCATGGTGCGGAGAACAGGACACGAACTCCAACTTGTTTTCCGATTTTTTTGAGCCTGTGTGACATCTGGTGTATGTATGGAATCACGGCTATCCTTTCACGTTTTGTATCCGTGTTGTTCAGATTCTGTCGCTTCCTCTGCTCTGCCTTATTAGTTCGCAGGATCGTCTCGGCAACAGACGCGATAAACGCCTCGGGGAAACCTGAAGCCTTAAGCCGGGAAACTTGAGCTTTGAAGCTCGCAGAGATATTGTGGGCGCACGACCTATTTAAAGCATTCTCAAGGCAGGTTTGTGCTATGCCTCGCTTAACTATCTTACTGTGAGCGGAAGAAAAGGGAAGTAGAGGTTTCTGCGCACGTGGTTCATAACACCAACAGATGTCCTGTGAGCTAAAAACCAGATTTAAATACAAAAAGCGTAACTTGTCATTATCGGGCATTTCATGTGTCAACACAAGAGGCTTTAAACAATCTTGAATACACCTATAGTTTGAGTCGCAAACGAGTGAAACATAGAAGAATTACAATTTAGAAGAACCAAGAACTCGTCCACGTATCTGAATATTTTGACGACATGCGAGCCTTCTAACTTTTCCTGCAGTTTTTTGCCCATTTTTGCCAATAAAAGATCACTGAGTAGAGGTAAAGGGACACAGCGACTCTGTGCAAACACGGAGATGAAAGCACCCGAGTCATTGTCGAGGCCGCGCAGATGGCACGCGAACAGGTGCCTTGTGTTAGCAAGCCTTCCGTGGCTTTGTCCGAGAAGGAACGCAGGTTCCTCGAAGGTTTCGGTGCGGGCAGGTAGTTATATCATCTTTACCTTTCTGTTTTGTTTTCTTCTAGATTTTTCTTTGCTGTTTTTCAGTGCCTTTGTTTTTGTGTTGTTTGTTTTTTTTTTCTTACTCGTGTTCTGCTCCTTGTGCCATATCGTTTTTATCAAATGGTTACTGTCTCCTCTATATATTTTCGTGCTCTGCGCAATAAAAATAAACTCAGTTGGAAGTTAGCGCTCGTGTCCTTCTTGTCTCTGTGTCGTCGTTGTGTTCTCGCTCTATAACTATCGTCATGCCATACCAACTAGCCCAAGCTGCCACACTTCTAATTTACCATCAAACCCAGCTTTAGGCACACGGCAGGCCCAACGCGTCTTGGTGGCTTTCAGCTGTCGTCACCAGTAGCGAACACAAAACTCGTAGGCTCCGAAAGGCCTACCGGCGGCCCTGTTGCCGTTGTTTAGCGTATGATCTATCACTTGCAACTTGAAGCAGCCGTGTGGCTTCAGTATCGCCCCATAACGTGCCAAGATAACCGACGCAACATACAAAACACGCCGCAACGCGCACTGGCCACTTCGGTTTGGCTTGGATTGGTTTGAATCTCCGTGCAATAGTACGCTTGATGCTTAAGAGATGGCGCCAAATGGCGCGCGCTATCATCATCAGTGGCTGGAACGAGCAGACATTATTGCGGCAGTTTTCGGGGGTGCGATAATTACTCGAGGAAAAAATTTTTTCGTATTTTTCTAGGGCGATGTGGGGGGTGCGAGAATTATGCGAGTGCGAGGATTATGTGAGTAAATACGGTATATCTCTATTTCTGACACAAGAATAACTCTACTAAAGCACACATACACCCTAAATGAATAACGCTTTCATACAAATTGCTTTAAGTACTTTCTTTCCGCTAGCCATACGACAGTGAACGACTTACCTTCTACTACTACCAATACCACCTCACTAACTACCTTTTTATCACTACTTGAAAATTACTTACATGATGCACAAACATAAAACTACAAATATTTCGCATTTTTCCTTAGCGATGTGTACTACTATTGGTATTCTGCTACCCACATTCCACTACTTGTGCATAGAATGTATATTTTTTTTCGTATTTTTTGTAAAGCTTACGTACTAATGTGTAACTATGATTGTATAATCGCAAGTATATTGATATATTGTGTCAGCACTAAACAGATTTCACAGTTGTGTATAAATGTTTAGCTAATGTGAATTTTCCTGTTTATCTTAACTTTGCCATTCAGCACAAAAAAAGGGGAAAAAAGAAAAAAACACTTATGTTATTTCGCAGTGTTTTTCCTTTTGTCTTTTTTCCTTATTTGTTTATAGTTTGTGTCCTTCCTGCAATAATTCCTAAAGGTATTGGCAGTATGTAATAAATAAAATAAAACATCAATCAAGCAACGGTAGTTGGGTCGTTTGTGACCAAAGCATTGAAGGCAACAGAACCTATGCCTTTGAGCAGATGGTGCACTTTGTCTCGGTCATGAAGGTGTTGACGCGTTGACAAAGAGAGAGAACATCCTCGATATATGCGGTATAAGACTCGCGTAGTTGTTTGCGACCATCAAGAGTTCTCTTTGCCAGGCTGGCTCGAACTGCTGGACTAGCAAAGTCTTGTCGCAGATGTTCTTTGAAGACGTCCCAGTCGGGAAAGTCGATCTGGTAATTAAAAAACCAAGTCTTCGTCATGCCAGTAAGATAAAAGGAGATGTGGCGGAGATTGTGTGGATCGACCCAACAGTTCGCTGCATTCACTATGTCATATTGGTGTAGCCAGTCCGTGTCCTCATTTCAGAGTCCAGAAAACAGAGGGGGCTCGCAAGGGGGTCCACTGACGATCCAAGAGTGAGTAGCTGTGGCAGTCGTAGCCGGAGGGTTAAAGGGAGAAGCACCTGAGGGTTCGTCCTGTGGCGTGCTGGTGGACACGTAGCCCAAACGACGACTTGAGTGAAGCTCCAAGAAGTAAAGCGGGTGAGCAGGGACAGGGAATCGAGGAGTAACCTCCATCACTTGAGATGTAGTCCTTTACACGCCTTTTTAGGCCTGGTAGACGTTGCCAAAAACTGTCACATCGAGGCACGGAACAGACTCAAGGGTTATATGCACCAACGATGAAGATGAGGAACACCATGTGATGATGGTTATGTAAAGGTAATGAAGAAGTGTGTTGTAAATGCCCACGTTACTTGCAAAATATATTTGCAAGAGTGGTTGCAGCACTGGCCAGTCTGGCTCGTCGCTCGAGCAGCAAGCGACCTTCATTCGTCGGATGCATACGTGCATTGACAATTTGCACAGTGGCAGCCTACTTGTAGAACTACCGTCGGTAAAGGCGCCGTACCGGCGCATCTGGACGTCAGTGGGAGAGTGGTACTGCTTCAGATGTGTGACATGTATGATTTCGCTGTTTCGAGGGGTGGATGAAAACGACGAGGCAGCAGGAGCGATTTCATGAGTGACGGGAGTCGCCTCACGAAGCTCTTTGTATGGTCCTGTGTACTGAGTCAGCAGTTTTACAGGCCAACCTGCCCGGTCGGAGACCAGAGCAGAACCAACGAACCGGGCGAAAAGTGCACATAGCGGTGTCCTTGATCTTATCGACGCTGTTGGTTTTCTTGGGAGGCCAGAAGGCGACCACGAGCGGCTTCGCGTGCATGGGTGGCTCGAATATAGGAAAGTGGTTCAAAGCTATACTTGTACCACAACAGCTGCTTTTAGTGTCGTAGTGGTCTGCTGGTGTAAGTAAGGCTCGACGGAAAATTTTCATTAGAAGGCAGGTGCAGATGATTCCATGTTGTTCATGGCAACCTGTGTTGCCCATTCCACGACCCTTGTCTTACTGGATCTGAGCTGGTCAACAACTTCCCACTGCCCGGGGAAACAATCACGCATAGTATCCGGCCGTGGCACCATTTGCATTTGGCTTAATATCTTCCGGTGATATGTTGCTCAGCACATATGGGCTGGAAAAATTGCATCTGCAGTTTTCTTCCGATGCATTCTTGTGCCTTGGTTGACTTACTTGTGCAGGGGGGAAGTAAGCCCTCCACTCTAGTTTATGATGATTGGGGATGTCGTGAAAACAGACCAGCTCATCTCTCTTGCAAGCCTCCCTGAAATGAATGACTCGCCTGTCCGATTGACAAAAAAACTCGAGCATTCAGGCGAGTAGTCTCCAGAGTGTGCTGGTACCCCGACACTTTCTATTTCGCGAATGTAGGGACACAGGTGTAAGGTCAAGCAGCTGGTGTCTGACAGTATATCGGCAGGAAAAAAGAAACACACTGGACACTATTAGCGGCTTGCAGACAGCATACGAAAGGAGCATGGGCATAGACTACAGGAAATCTGTCGTGGCGATCAAGGCTTTTTGTGGCCATGCAATGTAATGAATGGCCTGCTGTGCTTGCACGCCACCTGCTTGCTGATGTCAATTGAAACATTTCTTACTTCATACTCACCTTTTTAGAGCTGACAGTACCACGAGGAGAGAACTTTCCCAAGCATTTTCAAATAATTCATCAAGCTTCTTTTCTTTATAATTGTTTGTC